GATGTAGATTTATATTATATTTATATATATATATATATATATATATATATATATATATATATATATATATATATTTATGGATAACTAGCAAGTAGCGAGGTGAAATTATATACGAGTTCGGTGGCGAAAATCTGGAGCACGCGACGGCGATCGTAATGCATGTAATCGTAATCGATCACGTGAACGGTGATCGTCGAGAAGATTAAACGTTGTTTTGTGGTTCGAATTTTCGTGAAGAAGTCGGGAGTAGGGAGAAGTGTGCCTTCGCTTGAGAATCGAAAGAGAATTACGTAAGGATAGTTAATCGTCACGATAGTATGTACAACTTAATTATTAGACATCGCTGTGCGGCGACAATTACGTCGGCCGATGGCAAACGCAAGGTGTAGCGTGCGACTGTTGTGCCGACACATATGTGAATAGGATTTATTATGGCTAGTTTTGTACAATTACACCGGATGCGAAGATTATTCCAGCCGAGGTCGTTCACAAATATATGTATTATAAATCAACGAGCTTATGTGTCTATGAAGCTCCCTCCCCGATTAACAAAAACCTAGGACAATGGTAAACGTCGAAAGACCATTATTGACTGCCACGAAAGTTATCGATACTGAACTGAACAGTGACTAGTGTTAAAAATGTCAGAATTATTTAGATTGCTCGGAATTTTTCTTGTAATTTGTACTCGAATAATGTATTTAACCCTTTGCTATTTAACCCTCATCACTCGAGTGGTGACTCTGAGGCACCACTAAAATTTGTTAGATCACGTTTTCAGATAATTTTGATATTAACAAAGTTTAGATTTAACAAATTGTGAAGAGTGTAACTGTTGCGTGGGTCCCAAGAGTCAATTTCATATACGTAAAATGCATTTTGTCATATAAGATAAAAATACTATAAGTCAGAAAAATGATTTTATATTTACAGTTAAAATAGCTTCGAGTGCAAAGGGTTAACTATTTCCCATTAAAAGATCGTTACAATCGCATTAACCGCAACGTAAGCAATCTGAAACTGTTCATTCGACGGGTAGGTTTGCTATTAATTAGGTTATTGCTATTAATTACTAATTACAGCTATTAAAACGAGTGATTCGAGTTGTTTGACAGTTCGATTTTAACAGATTCAAATTTTCGAAAGCAGGCCAAATTTGAACGTCAAGTCATGCGCGTAAACCTTGCCAGGATAGAGTACGCAACAGGGAAAATCGCTTATATTGATCGCATCAGGATAGTTCTGCGGCGACAATACGAACCCTCCGTGCCTCTGGTAACGGACGCCATCTTTCCCCCAAATGTCTGTGTCCACGAGGTCGGCGATCTGAAAATGTTTTCTATAGAAATCGTCAAATTGTCGAAGATTTTTAATTGTCTAACACAATCTTGGCTGTCGTAGACGGACGCGTCGTCGAAATCGGGGGGACAAACGCATTCAGGATCGGGTAGGTCGTTTCCGGTTGAGAACTGAAGACCTGGTTGATTCGAGTAAACTTCTAAAGTTCTTCCGGAGGTCGGGTGCAGAATCCTTCACATGCAATCCGTGAAAACGTGTGCGGCGTTAACATCGATTCAAATGTAATTCGAGACATTGAAAATTCAAATTCGATAGTCGGCGTTGCTTTTGTCAGCGATTTTAAGTTAAACATTCGTTGCAGTTTTATGCTTGCACGACGTTCGTTTCTAACTTTAAACAACTTTTAAACTAACTTTTAAATATTCGTTCAAGTTTTATAGTTGCATAACGTTCGTTTCTAACTTTGATTTAAATATTCGCTTGAGTCTGATATTTGCAGAAATTTCTTTCTAGTTTAAATTTAAATATTCATTTAAGTTTGATAGTTCCATAACTTCTTTTTCTAATCTAAATTTAAATATTCAATGTTTGATATTCGCAGAACTTCTCTTCCTAATTTAAATTTAAGTATTCGTCTAAGTTTGATAATCGCATAACTTTTCTTTCTAATCTAAATCTAAATATTCATTTAAGTTTAATAGTCGCCTAACTTTCCTTTCTAATTGAAATTTAATTGAATTTAGATTCGAATATTAAAGATTTATGTCTGATGATCGCACAACGTTTGAAGGACCCAAAAAATTCAGCCACGAGAGCACACTGAACGTTCGGTGTATTCGACGTTTATGCGAGTTACCTAGCGTGGAATCGATAACACCAACAGCTGGGGCTGGTGATGCAGAGATTCTGGTTGTAACCACCCCCTGGTACGTTGTAAAGCCGGTTCTTGGTCAGCTGTGTCGGTAAACGTAAATCGTAGACTTCATAATCGACAGGAAGTATAGCGCCTGTCGGCAAATTGTTTTTGACATCCGCGCAGGTCCAGCAATCAGCGTTAATTGAGACCACGTGTTTTTTCAATTCGATCGGACCCGTCGCCTACGAGAATTTTAACAAACCCTTGAAATTGATTCGGCTTACAATCCTCATCAATCTTCGTAAACGAGGATTAGATTTGTCAAAAATTATTGAGATAGTCAACATCACAATTGTTCGAACAAATTAAGCAACAATGCCATGCAATTCTTCCCTGTTTAATTATGCTGTGTATTAACTGATTTGAAATGTTGCACAGTCGGTAGGATTCGCAATGGTATTTTTACGGTATTCTCAGGGACAAATAAGTTACGGCGATGGGATCTTACGTGGCCGGCAAGGTTCATCAAGCAATTAGTAGTGATATTGGCAGGTGTTGGCTGAGTTGCTTGTGCGCGGATGTTAATACCGAGCTGGTTATCGTCGGTCCAAGAGAATTTGATCTGTATCAACATATCACCTGGGTATCCCTGGCAATTCGCTGGACTATGATGCGTCATCACCTGTGCAACGAAACTGTTGCAATTCGTTGCAACTTCGAAGCGCCGAAAGGCAGCCGATCAAACATTAATTACAGATCTTTACCACGTGTTTTCCCCGTATGTAGGACTGCCAATTGACGTTATCGAAGCCACAATAGCCACCGTGAAAATGACTGCAACCGTCCCTATAGTTCACTGACAACGAGTAATCCTTATTGTCCACTGTCATCGTACCATTGGAGATTTTATTCACCACTCGACCGATTATGCTTCCTATGTACCTGTTCTTCAAATACCCTAATTATATTTTCGTAGCATTGTTATCGACCCACGACAGCAACAACGCTGTTCGTTTGTGAGAATCATGCGGTGCAGAATTTTCAAAAAAAGAGTTCATCGAGATTTGAAGCGAGGAAAATGAAATTTTACGTGAACGTTACTTCGCGCTTTGTGATATTGTGATCATTATGACAAGTCGTCTCACCCTCGAGATCGTCGAATCCTAAAACAACGTCACCCAAAATGCCATACTTGTTCGGGACTTTGATCGACTGGATGGTGGCGCCCCACGATATCAATTGCACCGACGCTCTGTGCTTATTGGTCATAGTATACCTACCAAAATTAAGAACAACAACTTATAAATATCTCCTTTTAATAATCGTATGACACTTACCTTCTAACAATATCGAATTTCGTTTTATGCCTGTTATGGTTGGGTCTAGGCATCATACCGAATCCATCTTCTTCGATGAACGTTTCGTGCAGAGACATTTTAATTTTAATTTCTTTTACACAACTAATTTAGCACGATAAATTTAGTCATATTTAGCACATATTTTTTAGAATTTTTCAATCAGAACCACTGAAATTTCTGTTCATCGAAACATGTCGCTCGAACAGGTTACTGATCACAGACACCTGTCCCAAAACGAAGCAACTTCATTCCAGAAAAATTCACTTCGCAACTTCATTCCGAACGCGTTAAAAAGTTCCCATCGCGTTGCAATATTTTATGGGGACGCATTCGAAATATTTTTAACAATTTTGTTGTATCGTTTGTACACTGCTGATTCTACACTTACAGTTGCAATAGGGACAGAGGGCTGAAGGGCGATCTTTGTGGAGATCAAATCATCGTTTCCGATGTGAAAAATAGCATTACAGTTGTTTTAAACCGTACTTGATTCTCAACAGCTCTAAAAAAAGCAAGATGGTTGAATATATCGGACTATCTGCAGAATCTAATTTCATTCGAATTTCGATGAGTGGAAAACAAAAACTGCGAAACCGGTCATTTTGACAGGAAGGTTACTGTCAACGCACTTGCTTGATTCGCTCTACACTTCTGCAGACCCATCCGAAAGTCACAAAAGAAGCCTCCGGCAGTGATCTGCCCTGGCGAACTAATCTCGACAAAGCGGGCAAAGACGAAGAGAAATCAGAAGTCTCCGCGGCTTCCGGTGGATTGTCGCAAAGTGTCGCGAAGTATCGCCAAAGCGCGAAGCCGCGAGCGAAATCCATTACGCGGAATCGGGCTATTATCGCGGCGCCAAGCGAGCGACACAAATCCGACAAGCGAGCCTCGTTTTAACGGTTCGTCGCGGCCGTGACGCGTCCCCAGCCCCCGTTGTCAACCGAGGGAGAAAACGATCTCGCGTGTGTGCTGGGAACGCGCGCGAAAAAGAAGCGACCGGCTACCGAAAAGGAAAAATTCGCGAAACCAGCCGGCTGCCGGTAGAAGAAGCGAGGTGGAGACGGGGGAGGGTGGGAAGTGGCGCGAGGGAGGAGACGGAAACAAAAATGGAAGAAAGGAAGCGGAGGCGAGGAAAAAGGAAGAAGGAGGCGACGAAGAAGAAGAAGAAAGGCAAGGCCGTGGCATCGGGGAGCGTCCCGGAGGATTCGGTCGTTTTCTTTCGCGGCGGCGGGTTGATCAGTCTCGATTCCCGCGAACCGTTCCGTGGCTCTGGAAACACTCGCTGGAAATAATTACATTAATGGCGTCGCCGGCAGAAAAGCCGTTGGATACATCGGGTAGATGCCCACCCTCTCCGGCAGTCTTCCTCGAGAAACGGAAAGCAACCCCCGCTAGTTTCAATGGCGAAACATGGAACTGACGGAATAATGCTCCACCCACAGGCTAACGTATACCGAGGCGGGGTGTGCTGGTGCCCCCTCGTCCGCCCCCGGGCTCGCACTACCTCCTCCTCCTCCCCCCCCGGCCACCCCCAAACCGCCTCCAGCCGCTCCCTCACTTTCTTCCTGACAATACATAATGCCATTCTGCCGCGGTACCGGCAACAATGAGTGCGCACGTCCTGCTGGAAAGTAATTATCTTAATGTCGACGAGCCGAGCGCCGACGAATGGAGAACACTCGCGCGCGCGACGGCAGCTTTCCATGCGACAGATTTCTCTCTCTCTCTCTCTCTCTCTCTCTTTCGGCTTGGTTACTGCGCTTGCTTTACCTTCCTCTTCCTCCCATCCTGCTCCCGCCTCCGTCCAACGTCCTCTCCTTTTGCTTTCCTTCCTTCCTTCCTTCCTTCCTTCCTTCCTTCCTTCCTTCCTTCCTTCCTGCCATCCTCCCGACCACCCTCCGACCCCCCGCTAGCCGCCTAGCCAGCTTGCTCGAATCGTTGTTTCGCTCTTGGATGCGGATTGTACCCGGCACAATATCAATGCCGCGGACCGTACCCGCGATATCGTGACAAATCGTGTCACAACACGCGGCCGCGATTGTCTGAACGCTGATGGATGCTACGAGGAAGTGCCTGGGGCCAGGCCTGGCTAGGCGGGGGTGCTCGATTTGCAAGAAAACGGGCACGAAATTGGGGAAAAGTAGCTGTCCGTTCGCGGAGTCTAATTAATCGCAAGGGATCCTGCACAATCGTCGATTTTCTGTTTGTATAGTCGACGCGGCGGTATGTCGGGGATGTTACCATGAGCTGATGGACACTCGGTCGCTTTGACATTGTTCACGGCTATCTTTAGACTCCGGAAAGCCAGCAGCGTTGCACGAATCCGTGTCGCGTATAATAATCCGACGTTCTGTAACGCGTCCTGAAATATTCGCTTGAGTCAGTCGATTCGTTTCGTCAGTCTGTTTGTGCCTGACGGAGGTAGGAGTTTTAGCGTCTTCGAATTGTGAACAGGAATGTTGTACGAAATCGTTTATAATAATCGGACTTTGTGCAGGATGTTGTGAAACATTGGTCAGAGTCAATACAGTGTACAGTAAATAGCTTTGAAAAATGAATAAAATTGGACGGAGTTCGATAATAATTAAACGGCTAAAATTTTGGAATTTTATTTTATTTTTATGCATTTATAACAAATGTGTGTAGTCGAAATATAAAATTGTGAACGCATAAGGAGAATTTAATAATATAGTTACACTATTTTCTGTTTATTAAAACGATTAAAAGAAACAATTTATTCTTATTTAATTTCTGCTCCTCACAATCGTCTTGGAAAATTTGTATTTTGCATAAAGATTTACAATTTAATAATGACAATCAATATCTTGCACTAACGGCAATATAAATTTCCAAGGCTCATTTCAACCAAAAGGAAGATTATTCCAATCGAAATGAAAATAAAAACAGAAGATATGATCACAGGATTTGCACTACTGCAAAATGGATACATCTTGAAGCGAATTTCTTCGAACATGGTTGCAGCAGATGTTCAGTTTGTCCGTATAAACTATGAAAATGGAAGAAAGTCCTCAACCATCTCCTAACACCAAAATCATAACCGATCAATCCATTAATTGTCAAATACCATTAATTGTCAAATAATTCTGCAACTGTTTAGTTCCAAGAGTATACTTATACCGTTTTGCAAAGTCAATTTCTGCGGATTGGGGTTCCCCGGGGCTGTTATATTTATTTCGCAACTAACAAAGATAGGAATTCCGCCCATTTTTTTCGGCAAACCGATCACAGTCGCCCAGGCGGATCAGATTGCGGAAGCATAGTGCTCCCCGGTCATTGAGAGCGGTTTTTCGGGATTCTTCAGACGAGGGTGCGCGCGGGATGATGGCTTTTGATGTCTGCTTTGGGTACTCGGGGTGAATAATGGGATGATTGGGTGTAAGTGCGGGAACGATCTCAAAGCGGCTCCACTGCGGCTCTGCTTCTGTGTGCGAGTCGATTGTTGGGCGGTTAATAACACAATTTTGCTCGAGTTTTTGTTGCATCGCCGATTCTCCTAACTGTTCTCCCCGATTTTCTGCACGATCTTCTGTGCTTTCAACTTTATTCTTCATCTTAAATATGGTTAAAATAAGCAAGCACCTTTAACACTAGAACTACCAAACCAGTCAAAATGACTGGTTTCTGATTGTTTTCTTCTACAATTCCTGATTCTATGAAGATGTTTAATTCAGGAATTTTCATATATACATAGGAATTTTTTTCATTCCAGCATATACTATTATATAATAAAAATCGTACAAGGTTTAAATCAATCTAATCTTGTTATTGTTATAAAAGAGTCTACATTAGACATGTTTTGGGGTTTGATAGTTCCAGCGTTAGAGTTGCAGTAATTAAGATAGCCAAACATTAAAATTAACAACATTAACATTAATTTTATAACAATAAACACAACTTCATTGAAAACTAATCTTCACGAAGCATATGTATGGTTGAATTTATGGTTCAAAAAGGGTTTGGCACTAAACGTATCAAGCACTAAAAAATTGTATACCTGTTACTTTATAAGAATGACAAATAAGATTTAATTTATTCAGACTTCCCATCAATTTTATGTATGTTCGGTACACCGAAACCGACATCATAGCTGTTTCGAAGCCCGGCTCGCAAGTGTCTCGCCTAGGACGTCGTGATTCCGTCACTTGCCGGACGCGTTCCACGAATCGAGTCGCTTTAATCAGAGGCGCCGCGTCATCCGGCTGGTCCGAAAAAAGAGCGCGCGGAAGAAAATTGATAGATCGCGGGCGTAAGTTCGCCGGCTGGTCGTTCTGCCGCTAAATCGATCGCATTAAAATCGAGCGGGGGCCGTCGATCCGGTAGCCTGCCGGCGCGGCGCGGCGCGACAACGTAGTCCCCGTAATTCCATTGGTGTGCCTGCAGGCGAGAGATCCTTTGTAATCGACACGGTCGGAGGAACGACGGCGGGGGTGGTCGGGGTAGTAGGACGAGGAGGAGGAAACAGTGGAGGGAACGGAAGGATGAAGAGGAGAAAAGAAAAAGTGCGTTTTACCGTGACCACCCGGATCGCATTATTCCCTCCTCTTTTCCAATCTCAATTAGTCATTACGTCTCACGGCGCGGCGGCGTAGCGACGATGCCCTCCCCGAAACACCCTCGGCGTCCGCGCACCCCGTTCCTGCATTAATTGCGTCTACGTCGGCTACGATGGCCCCCTCTCTCCTCTCCTAGCCGCCCCCCGGCTCCTCGATTCGCCATCCCGCTTCGCAGGCCCCCGTTCGCCCCTCGCGCCGCCAAGTGCGGGGGTGTTTCGACAGGGATTAGTGTCGACGCCACGAACCGCATAATTCGAGCCCCGTTCTCTCTCTCTCTCTCTCTCTCTCTCTCTCTCTCTCTCTCACGCTCGCGACGGCTGCCACTCGAGAAAATCGGATCCGCGGCCGACTCGCGCGAGAATCGCGCCCTCCAAGACGTTGTTTACGCAGCAAAATCCGCTGCCGCTTTGTAATGATTGCCAGCCGAGCGTTATGCTCGATAATTGATCGTTACGCGCCGTTTGTGCGAGAGGCTTCCTCCGCAGGCAATTCCCGGACCCCGGTGCCAGACCTCGGACTCCTAGGGGTGCTTGCGAGGTCGGCTGGAGTCGGTGCTGATTAGACTGCGGGCACGATCTTTTTCGTAATAATCGTTCGAAATACGTCGTTCCATCTGGATCTGTGGAAACGAGTTCTCCGATTCCA